TATGCACATACATATACACATTTTCTTACACATGCACAGCCAAATATTACATCCATATACATATGCATATACACAAACATATTCCACATCCACATTCAGATACAATTACAATTACAATTACAGATATACATACACATATTCTCAAGAGCACACATACACACACTAATATAACATTACTGTTATGTATTTCATGCGCCCCACGTTTTTCGTTTTTCAAATTTCTTTATAATTATTATTCTCCACTACAAAAACGTGGTTTTTAAAAATATTATTTTTTATTTTAAATTTTTCTCTTTAAAAATCATAGTACTAGACTTAAAGATAAAAACTAAAAATAATTTCGTATCCAATTCATTGAGTGCAGTTATTGCATTCATTGTTGCAGTAGTTTCTTACAAAATCTAATATTATGGTTAAATCATAACAGAAACTTCCCATCTTTAAAATAAATAATTACAGATCCTCCAGTTCATAAACAATGTTTCAAATCATTATATATATATTCTAAAATTAAATGAGAATTTCAGGCATGTATTGGAATATTATAAGTTTTATTCTTACCAAATTTATTCTTAAACAGCTAATTAAATAGTTTGTTCTACGAAAAAAAGCTGAGAAGAATATTAAGTAGCAAATATTTAAAAGCACCTTTTATTTAAATAGCTTTTATTTATATACATATACTATTTAATATACTGATGCTTTGTACACATTTATTTATACATATACACACATAAATAAAACAACTGAAAATTCTATTTGGAAGTTATATTAATTTATCAATGCACAAGAATTTTTTTCTTTAAAAAAAGCAATACCAAAGCTAATTTTATCTATTTTACCATTAATTATGAAGATTAGATCCTACTCTGTTAGTTAACAAATAAATTTCTATAAAATGGAATTGTTCAAAGATTAAAATTTACATAAAAAAGACAAGGCATAATAAAGAGATTGTACAAAATATATTTCAAAAAAAAAAAAAAAAANAAAAAAAAAAAAAAAAAAAAAAAAAGGCAGAGTAAAAAAACATACCAAATCTCCACCTCCCATTGTTGTCTGTAATAATTAACCCGATGATAACATCAATGAACCACTTTGCTCTATAAAAAAAGTAATGATAATTTTTATTAACAGGATAAATGAAAGTAAAATTGTATGAAAGTAAATATGAAAAATTAAACTTTTTTCATCAAAATGAGGCTTTAATTCAAAGCATAGTTGATGTCATGTGCAAGAATGAGCACTTTTAGAAGATACCAAGAGCTTACCACAAACCAAAAAATAAAGCATTCAATACTAAGCAGCAAAAAAAAAGTTATAAAAATTTCATTCAGAAAATTTACTTTAGTATATATCAATTTAAGTATAAGTTGGAAATATGGAATTATGTTTATCAACAGTGTTCTGTTTATCATGAAGTAACAGTAATAAAAACTCAGTAGTAAATTCGCTTTTTAATAGTAAATCTCATTATAATATTAATATATTTTACAATAATTAATTAAAAAATAAACAGTTATTTTTTAATTTATTGTAAAATATTTTTATCTCTTCATTCATCTATACTAAATTATGGGAGTATATAATGTTTTGTTTTACAATATGATGGTCAGTTATGAACATCATATTGATTATAATTAAATTTATAAATCAATATGTTCATTTTACAATATATTTATTTTTGATGTTCTTTGCAAACAGCCAGCATAATTTCACAATATGTAGAGATAATTCCCAGAAGGTATAAATTAGCTTTACTCTTTATGCTTATCGAAGTGAGGGTTTAGGATACTTATCAAACACAGCACTCAGCATATCACTTAAAATATAAAAAATAACTGTTTATTTTAGGCAATTTTCAAACCCAAAATAGTGATTGATGATTTCAATAGCTTTATAAAAGGTTTATTACTATATGCTTAGGTAAAATGAGTTTGAAATGAGATGAGTTTCAAATAATTCTTTGCCCATTTTCTAATTAGTCCAAATATTGATAGTGATAAGCCTAAAAAATCTTGTGCAAAACTCTGAAGATTTTTCAAATTATCACGACTCATTGCGGAAAAAAATGCCAGAGACATCCACAAAGATTTGGATATTTCGATGAGCCTAAGACATATAGAACAAAGAAAGCAATATTAAAATTTTAAAATTTTTCATTTAAATAGTGTGCAGAGTAAATAAACAACAAAATATTTTAAAAAGAAATTATTTCTACCCTTTAGCACTTCAGTTGCAGACCTCCTTAAATGCTCTAAAATAAAAGCTTCTTCAGACCAGTGTTTAGACTTAATTAGATGAGACCAATCATAATCAATCAACCCTGAAAGAAAAAAATCAAACTTTAATAAAATAATAAAGTAAAAAAAAGCACTTTTACGCACATTTACAAATGCATTTAAAATTAGAAAGAATGGATATTAACAGTCACTAGTAAAAAAAATTAAATATTAATTGTTGTACATATTTAAAAAGGATTAAATTATATTACTTCTCGAAAAATAATATTTACAGTAATATATTTAATTCATGATAATTATTATACATGCAATTTTATTTTGAGATAACTCTATCAGTTACCTGTTACTTTTAGTTGTTTCCACAGTTTCAAATTTTATAGTTTCTTCGAAACTAAATTGCATAAAAAATAAATAAAGAAGAACTTGATACAACTATGCATACAAAAGTTTTGGAAGAAAACCTTTCCATTTTGCTCAGGAAAATTATTTAAACTTTTAACCAAAAAAGTGAAAGATATTAAAAATTGTATGAATTTATCTTTAAGTCCATTAATCAAATAATAAAAATACTGAATCATGAATACTTAAAAAAAAGCAGTGTGCTTAATTTTTGGTAAAATTTTAACTTTTCAAAAATTCTACATTCCTTGTATACAAAGGGGAATATAATTCTAATTGATTTGATATGTTCTCCTCCTCTTTTATGGTTTTTAACTTTTATGCTTCTTTGAAATTTTATGACACGTTCAAAAATTTCAATTTTTTTTTTTCTTTTTTGATGAAAATGATTTGTTCAAAATATAAAAATTGGTATGAACACTAGATTATAGTAAACATTACAATACTTTCCAGTGTTGCCAATTATTAAGAGCGCTTTCTTTTTAAAAAATGAAGAATCTATTTTTTGAGATATTTTGTGAATTATGAAACTTTTCATTAAGTAATTTTTATCATAGACAATTTTTTGTCACATGTAGTAATTCATTCAATGCTCTTCAGCTCATTCAAAAAATTAATTATAAGCAATCATTTTACTTTATTTTTATGTGACACTATTTTCCAGTGATGATACTGATTGTACTACTTCCTTACGAAATAAAAGCTTTTCTTTTCTATAAATGTTTCAACTTCATGGAATATTTGGTAAATTATCCATATCACCATCGTTAAAACTCTTCTTTAAGTCATTTTTATCATGGGACATTTTTTTGTCACATGTAGTAATTCATTCAAAGCTTTTCAGCTCATTCAAAAATTATCACCTTCACTGATACTATTCCCATTATTTTTTATTGTTGATATTTTTCTAAATGATAATGTAGCTAATCACTTATGACTATTTTCCAAAAAAAATTAGCAACACTGATTATAGTACTACTGCTCTAAGAAATAAGAATTTTTCAACTTTTAGAAATATTCAATAAAGTATCAATATCACCATAAAGATACATAG